AAATATTGGTGCAACTCCGCTTGTTGTTGCTGTTGTTGTTCAAGGAGGTGGAGCGCGAACTGGTTTCGATTTCCTACTTCCCGTTCCAGATCGCGTTGTTCCTCCAGAAATTGATGGAACGCTTCTACTTGTTCGCGAGATGATGGCGGAGTTGGCCGGCGTCGCAGGTCTGCTCTCGGAACCTCGACTTCTTCAACGTTAGGAGCTTCACGCTCTCTACTGTCCAACTTTGCTCTCAGTTCTTCAATCTAAAAAATCATACCAGTCATTACGGTTAATAGAGAGTTCAACAAGCAATATCATAAGCAAATTTAAATCAAAATTATACATACCAGATTAGCCGTGTTTCGCAAGTACTTCTCCAACACCTGCAGATGAAGTGGTTCCTCGCGCAGGTGATTTTTTAAATCTGCAAATGTTGGTAGGCTCGGACCGTATGCTTCGGTGAATGCCATTGCTGAAAAACCATGCATATATATATATATATATACATATATATGGCAAATACAAAATCGAAACTAAAGCGTAATTTTCATTAATTAGTCAGTAATAGAAATGAAAACTTTGCACGTAATTGAAAGTAAGTATGCTTGTAACAAAAGGAATAAGTCAAATCGCCAATCAATGAAGTTATCTTGTATGTAATACATAAAGTAATCGGTAATGAGATGAGATGAGATCACATAAGAAGATTAATAGAGACTGTCATGTTCACTAAAAACTGTCTTCCTCCCTAACAAATCTTTTCATTTGCGCGTTTGCATGACTAAAAGAATAAAAAATTATGATCAATTTATCTTGTACGGACTGATGATCATTGCCACCTATTTCAAATTTTATTTTATGCAATGATTTTGTACATATCTCATGAGTCAATTAATTAATGGGTTCATAATTAAAATATTATTCTTCTAAGCATAATTTATATCTTTGCTTACTTTATCTCCATATATTGATGCTTCGTTAATTCGATTTATTCTGCATTTATTTGCAATTAAATGCCTTTGATCCATTGTTTCGGTAATTCGGCGCGTACTTTTCTTAATTTTGCTCATACGCACTTCAGTAGTCATAAAGCCCTCATCAACAAAAATTTTTAGCTACAAAAATATACAGAAAAATTAACAAAAAAACACATGACAAACAAAAAAAAACCGAACTGATAAAAGTTGATTTTCATTGATAACGAGAATTAATTTATGAGATAATTTTAATTTGCTCTTTTTTTAATAAAATGATTACAGTTTAGCTAAAAGATGAAAATAATATGATTTGTGTTCCATTTCAATATTTATGATATTTTGTTTTCGTTTTCATTTCTTTTTTAGTTTTTTTGTCATTCTATAATTTAATGTGACCAAATTAATATTAAATTATCACTTTCACAAAGATTATTCATTTGCGCAAAAAGATGAGTTACTTAGAAGAAATAAAGTGTCATTCCTCAGTGTTTTTTTTATAAATTCATCCAGTTTGCTCAAGAAAAAAGCACTAATACAAAAAGAAAAAAAAAAGCACTTGTTCATACGATTTAAAATGTGATCCGTTGAATCTATCTATCAATGATTGAGTCCGAAATGATCGACGCATCTGTCAAGTTGTTTTGTAATTTAATCTGCTTGACAAAATGAGTAAAAATTTCATGTATTATTTTTAAAAAATGAAAAAATCCATTTCCTTTTCTCATTTTTATCTTTCCAAAGAAAATTCGAATTCATAGAACAATACATATATTTGTTGCATTTGTATAATGGTAATAATTGTACAATGTTATATCGATTAACTATCCATCTCTTCCGCACTATTTTTTTTCCACCGCTGTATGAATATCCGCGTCGGATTCATATTGGATTCAAAGGTATCTAACTATTACTCAAATAAGTGTAAGAAAATATACGCCAAATTGGGACATCAGTTGCTTTTAAGAAGTTACCTACGATAGTTACTAAATTGGGTACCAACTCGTGACTATGTAAAGCTAATAAATTGATAATTTATTATCATCATTTCTAAGCTTAACAGTTAATCACAAATAAATGAAAAAACAAACTAAAGCATTAGTTGACATAAATTTTCAAGAATTTCTCTAATTTTATCAAAACATAAAAATCATAATCAGTATTACGCATATAAAATGAATATAATTAATTGAATTACAATTAAAACTAACCATTAACAAGTCATTATAAATCTAGCAAAACTGCTATTAAACATTAAATATTATAAGATTAACTACACCACAAGCTGATATTCGATGCAAAATAGGTTTCAGTAAGAAATATAAGAGAATAAGGTGATATGAAAGGAAAACTGTGTTATTAAAGGAAAAATACAAATAAAGATGATTAATTTTCAACAGTTATTATTTACCCAAATCGGGATATTAAAGTGGTTAAATAAAAATAATTAACTGAATTCAAAGTAGAGTAAAAAGAATTTTCTTCACATTTTTTTGAGTTTTAACTCTATCAATTTTTGCATCGTTGCTTGATTCTGAGATGTGATTCTATCTTATCAAAATTCTTCTGGAAGCATTTTGGGTGTCAGTTAGAAATCATTGTTTACGTTTCTAGAAACTTTCAGATTTCACATGGTTTTTTCTTCTTCTTAAATCATATTTCAGATTCTGTGGCCAAACAGTAAATGTGTAAGAGCACCAGGATGTCCTAGAATTTTATAACGCAATTTTCATTCCGTAGATGAGGTCTTAAGAAGTCGAATGAAACGTCCATATAAGAATTCATTTTGGTTGAAAGATTTCATTTGGTGGAACGGTTGTTGGTCAATGAATCGTAATCCTTTCTTTTCTATTACCAAATTATTAGTGATGATCAGTTTCTCTTTTTTGTTAATTTTTTAAGTTTTTATATTTTATTTTGTATAATCAATTAGCAGCAAAAGGAATTAACATATGAAATTGAAAGGTTACAATTGGTAACACAATCATTTTTGCTGAATTCATAGTGTTTTTCTTCAACAAAATCTTCAGTGGAATTGTGTAATTGCTTCCGATTTGTAGTACCATTAACTAAGACTAATTATGTAATCAATGATAACCTTATCAGATCATACATTGAATAAACTATTCGGTGGCAATCACGTGTCTCTTCTCGTGAATTCATTTTTTGTTCGCATTGGACACATAAATTTGTCTTACCGTACCAAGGCACGTGGATAGTGTCGGTGATTTTTCCGAATTTTTTTTCTTTTTTTTTAAAAAATGTGAAATCTTTAAGATTACCTTCAAGACTGCTAAAAAGCTGAAATCTTTCGAGAAATTCTCCAAATTCCCTCATGAAAATTTCCTATCAAAAAAAGTTACTATTTTCGGCAGACAAAGTTTAAGTTAATCAAAGGTGTACAGAAATCATAAGAAAAGTTAAATTAACATAAAGCCCAATGTGATATTGATAGAGAGAAGTGATAAATTGACAAAATTTATCACATATCTCTGTTAATTTGATAGAATTTGATAACTAACCTTCTAAGCAATTAATGATCTTTGACCTTGTCACAAATGTGACAAAATTTTGTTAGAAATTCAGTATTTGAGAAAAAATATTTTTGCTAAAAATTGTTCCTGAAGTATTCCTTTTGGTATAAAAATTATGACAAATTCAAAATGCAAATTCTTCATAAGGAATTTTTGTTGGATCGATAGATGATATCTGTATTCACTTCATAAGTATGCCTTTCATTGGAGTATTCATTTGATAAGCTTAAAGCATTTAGATGTTCCGTCTCCTCGGGTCGAGCTAAAATGTAATATACGTTATAAAATTCATATAGAGAAAACAATTAATCTTTAAAACTTTGTTAGCATTACTACCGAAAAGTTCCAAAAATTGCTAATTTCAAAACAAAGTTGAGGATATATCTTAAAAAGTTTTAAGTAAAACGAGTGTTTTCATCGTATATCAACCAGAAATTTTGCATAACATACAGGTAACATAAATAACAGGTGAAATATATACCAATTAACTTTGACTATTGGAATGATAAGCTTCTTTCAGAGAATTATCTGTCGTATAAGTACACCAATTATGAAGCATTGTCATCATTAGCAAGTAAACCAATGAATGATACAGTGATAAATTTTATGATACAAGAACACAAACCGATATAATCAAGCGTTGGTTTTCTTCGGATTATTTTGTGTAGAAAACATTTCTCCCAACAGAGACAAACTATGATAAGCATTGTTAGTAAGGCAGAAGTAACAATCAATGCAGTGAATAATAGCACAATTAAACTGAAATTTTGTCAAATTAAGAATTTTTGAAATGACATTAAATTTGAGAATGTAAATCAAAATAAACTGTACATTTTAGCTAACACATTTGACACATTTCAATAATTCGTTTTTTACTTCCACAGTTTCTCGCTATGACCAAACACAAACCAAAATTTTCACTTTTAATAATGATAAGAGGTCATGCAAAGGTCACGATGCTCTTTCTATTTTTCGATCTAATATATTTATACGTCTTTTGATGCATAACAAATTGATAATTTTTTTGTTTATAAATCCCATTTACATTTTATGTTCAGTTTTTCATCCATAAACTTCATTATTCTTTCTTAATCTCAATAAAAAAAAAAACTTTTGAATCCAACATTCCCTCTTGTTTGCTAATGTTTGAAATTAGAAATTCTTCATTGGATTCCTTTCATAGAATCTTTTGATATTTAGTCAGAAGGATTCACCATTGTGAACTGTACATGTGCACTGTCTAAGGTTAAGTTAGTATGTTTTTTAGTAAAGCTAAAATAGAGGAAGTAAATTAATGCTTTCCCTTTCATATATTTCTTTTGAGTTAAAAATTTTCAGCACAAATATTCTGATTCAAAACTTGAATCACAATCTAAGGTTTATTTTTCTTCACTTACCTTCTTATCATTACACCATTACCGTGATGACACATATTATCAGCTCCATTGTTAACAAAAAACAAAAGCGCTTACTAATTCTCGAGAATTGTCGGTTCACGACAACAATTAAACTCAGGCGGATTACAGCATCGATTCTCTTTTTCACGATGATGTTTTGTTGGACAAACGTATGCATTTATATATCGTCTTGTTTCTGCAGATATTACTCCACCACACTGAACTCGTTCTGAACATTTAAAAAATTTTTAATCCTTTTTCAAACTCTTTCCGGATTCGTTATTTCATAATGTTGAAATACTTTACAAACGAATATCAGCAACTATTCCCATAGATTTCAAGAAATCCGACGATTCCAAATGGTATTCAGTTAATTTGAAATAATAATTATTTCCGAAATCTAAATGAATTCCAAAACTCGAATGACAGTCTTAGTAAAAGTTGATCGATTTAGAATTTGCCGATGCAAAAAAAAGAAAAATTTTTTTTAACCTTTAATGGATAAAATTAACAGTTAAAGAGAAAGTTCTAAAAGATACAAGCATTACCAGCTTGAACAGCGATCAAAGAGCACGAACAAATGCAAACAACAACAGTACATAGCGCTTGCCGCATTTCCTGTAATAAAAAAATCAAGAACTTTTAAAAGTTGTCAACAAAATTCTAAAAATGGCAATGAACGAGCAGAATTGTACGAATGTAATTTATCACGTGGAATTTGTTAAGGCTCTTGTTTTTTACCAGTTAGGAGATCAACAACATTCACCGAAAGGTATTTCATTATTAGGCATAGGTTTATTTAAAAAAGAAAAAGGACAAATAATTAAATTAATTTAATGAAATTTAAAAACCAATTTAAAATTTAAAATTCTAATTTTTAAAATTTTAATTTGAAAACCAATTTAAACTAGTTTAATTTAACGAATTCATAAATAAATATGTGGCAATATTAGGAAGAAGAAATATATTAGAATGGAAAAGTAGAGAATAAAAATAAGCTTCATTTTGGGCTTTTTTTTTGGAAAGTAGCAACATTCGATGATAGATGTTTGTTTGTCAATTGATTTCCATTACATGATAAATATTTCAACCATTGCTGTAAAAGGAAGCAAACTTCAGATGAATGCTAATAAGCGATAGAAAAATTCAATTAAATTTGAAAATTTTATAAAAATTTTTTTTTGTCACAGAAATTATGAAAAATCGAACTAATTTACTTATTCCCAATCAACCCTTTTCACTAAGTTACTAATTCTCAATTCTTTTTTCAGTAATTTATTAATTCCCATTTTTCTCTCACTATGTTACAAACAAATTCCCGATCACTTTTTTTTCAACAAGTTAATAATTCTCGATCATTTCTTTTTCATCAAGTTCATAATTCCCAACCATTCCTTCATCATTTCCCGCTCTACCAACCAACTAAATCATTCGTTCATTCTCACTCCTACTTTCACATTAGTCTACTCCTACTACTACTACTACTACTAACATCTCCTCCAATAAAAGTGACATTTTCTTCCAATCAAATAAATCTCTTATCTTTATTTTTTGCTCTTCCTCTCTCCTTAGTCCCTCTGAAACTGTTCTATTTGTGAAAACACACAATGAAACGATTGCATATATGCGCCCCAATCATTTGGACTTTTTCTATTTGCAGCACTTCCGGCTCTTCTTATTTTAGTATTTATTAGTTTTGCTATAATCAAGCTGGAACAGAGAGA